TCCTCCTCCTCCTCCTCCTCCTCCTCCTTTGGGATCTGTAAGGTGGTTTCTCACAGCTGCTTTCTTTCCCCTCAGTCCTTTCTTTCTCTCATCACAGCTGTGCACACCTACACATATCCCAGACACACAGGGAAAATCACCCTGAAATCCAAATACTGGGTGAAGCAGGAATTTCCTGCAAAATGATTCACACCTCCCAACACTTCCTGGAGCTGTGTTTTGGAAGCATGCAGCATCTTTTCCAGTGTTTATCAGCCAGAGGAAAAATTCTGACGTGTAAATCAGACTATTCACAGTATAGATGGTGTCTCCTCGCTGCTTTCCTTTTACACCTCACTAACTCCAATTATGAAATCTTTAATTGATGTGTTCTGAGTCTGCAGTTGCTACTTTTCCCTGTTTCCATGGCTTTAGGGAAAAGGATCTTTCTAGAAATATCAGCTATTTATAGCCAGCCTTTGCCGTACTCAGAGGATGACCAAAGAAGTTTCCTCCTCACATCATAAAATGCAGGGAAAACAGCAGTAGCACTTGCTTTATGGAACATACATAATGGAAGCAAATAAACATGACAGCAGTCTGTAGAAAGAATGAACAATCCTGTAGATACCATATCCTCTCTCATGTCACCTCACCCGTCCCTGTGTGACAGTTTTCTGGATTCCAGCACGTTATTCATTTGGACAAACCACCTCCAAGAGACCTGCCCGATTATGCAGCAGAAATAACCTACACGAGGGGCATCTTTTTTTAACAAAACCCAGAATTTTGTGTATAGTGGCTAAGTAATTTTGTGTCCCAAAGGCAGAAATACTCACAAAGTGAAAGCCCACCTACAACACATCACATAAGGAGGTTCAGTCGCACGCAGGCTGCCTCCTGGTCTGCCCTGCTGCCTCTGGCACCTCTTCCTTGGGTGTGCAGCAGGTTGTTCTGATTATCAGGACATGCTCTAAACTGGGCTGCAGGGACAGACTACTGGCCTGTAAAAGGTCCTGAGCTATGAAACATCTATGTTTCAGGTACTTCAGTGGAAAGGCAAAAGAAGTTCTGTCAAGCAGAACTATGGATTAAACCACGCGTAAACCAGATTTTTCTTCATCATCGGGGGCCAGGGATGACCTGCTGGTCATTCTAGAGGACTACATAACTCATGCAGTCCAACATGAAAAAAGATAAAAAAGGCCTTATTCTATGTCTGTCCCTAATCTTTGGTGTATTTTTTCTTAATAGATTGAGGGAGATTACTTCAAAATGATACTGTAGCTACTTTCTGGAAAAAAATGCAGTGTCTTACAGGATCCAGGCACACTAGCCATGCATCAGCAACCAAATGATAATGCTGAACAAATTATAATCCATTAACAAATTCAGTATTTCAGTAGTTCTTGATACAGACTAATGTCCAACAGGCCACATTAAAACTTTGTTTTCCACAAACAGTTGTGTATGTAGCCTATCTTCCATGTAATCCCTTTGAATTCAGTGATAGGTCTCATTTAGAGACAATAACTTGAGCAGAAGCGTGTAGGATCACAGAAATGTTATGGCTGTACATAGCAACATAGTTACTGCTAGGAAAAAAAGTTCTGAAATTACTTCTTTGTTTCAAAGACTTCATGTAAATTGCTGTAGATTACTCAGTAAAAGAGTGACCAAATGATTCATACTTGCATGGTTAAAACCTAAATGTTTACAGCTTGAATTGACCCATGCCGTATTTTTGTTTATATTCCTTTTTCATCCTGTTTAGAGTACACAGGCTTATACAGATCTTTAATACTAAAAACAAATCAGAACTATTTTAGCCTGTAATCTCACTGGCTGAGGGAACAAGGAACATGTTTGAAAGGGTCTGGCTGCTAAAAGAGACCAACTCCTCAACATGCATGGCTGGAGCAGGGTGGTTAAAAATCTGAAACTGGAGATCCACTGTGGATCTTTCTTTGTGAGTTTAAATTCTACCAGCTATGGAGTGATAGAAATCCCAGCTACTGAAAGTCTCCTGTAGCATTTCCAGGATTATCTGTTTCTGTAGAGTTAGAACTGCCTTTTGGAAGACGAAGGGTGCAGAATTGGCGCAGAAGAAAACAAGAGTGGTACCTGGGAAAAATTACGTTTTTTTTTCTTTTGAAACAATAGAGCTCTATTCCCAGAGGAGCTTGAAATCTAAACATTTTCCTTAGTTCTTGTTTTGTTCAAATTGGTTCACTTTCTCTAAGTCCTTAGAAGTCTCCCATATTTTATGGGTGACTCTCCTCCAAAGCGAAAAGGAAGCAGATGTAAGGCCTGCAAGGGCTGCAGTCTTAACACACTGTAACACCAGCTGCGAGAATTAAATTGTCATCTTATGTTCAGTGCTGGCAAAAGCTGAGTATGTGACAGAGATGGTGACAGTGGATTTAATGTCTGGGTGGCAGTTACTTTGAATATCACTCGCACCACACACATCAAGCCAGTCAGCACATTAGTGCCTGTGACTGGGATCAGTCTGAGCAGCCATGACGTTGCCTTTCTTTCTTCATCTTATGTGCTGTCACACATTGCAGCACTCCATCCTCCAAAACAGCATTCCTCCCAAAAGCAAGTTTTAGTTAATACGTGCCATGTGGCAGTGTGGATCTGTCTCTCCTTCTTGCTCAAGGACACAGCTCAACCTTCACACCAGATAATATTTCACAGGTGAAACTCAGCCTGTGTGTGAAGCAGATTGTTCCCAAGCAGAGACATCCAGCCAATTGCAGGGCTGGTGCAGAGGAGCTCAGACAAGGATCTTGGAGGACACCTCCAACCCAGGGCAGCACCTGAGGACATGCTTTGGCTCTTGGCACAGCCTATTATCTGACACCACCATCCACCTCGGTTCAAGTTAATGTCAGCCTGTAAATTACAGCAGCTGAGGAACCAGCACACATTTGCTTCTGCTGTCTCTGCTCCGTGGTGGCCATTCCTGGCAGAGAGACAGTGTGGACAGCTGGAGGTGGCAGTTTCTCAAACTATTCGAGCTTGCACTGCCAGGGCTTATCATCTCTGCACAGAGAGAACTCCAGCAAAAGTTGTTGTGTGGCTTTACAATTTTGCCCATGGATGAAGTGTCAAAATCCAGAAAAATTATGCTGGCATAGTACAGTTCACACTAAAAGAACCTAATGTTCCTGCATCAGCTCTTCACCCTTTTTAAAACCACCTTATGGTCAGGAATCCGGCATTGATAATAGTTATTCTGGCATGTCAGGGTTCTAAAGCACAAAGACTTGCCCTGCATTTTTGTAAATTTTTCACACATTCATTTTTACAGACCAAAGAGCTCAGATGCTGCCAGGACATTGGATGTTACATGCACCCAAGTGTGATTCAAGCCTGGGAGCTGTAAGGACGAGTTGTTCCAGTCTGCCTGTAGAATTTGCCATCACTCTCTCATCTTCAGGAGGGGTGATTTTTAAGCTGATAGACCAGAGCACAGTGGCATCAGTTTTCTTGATTTCCTTGCCACTCTCTGAGGCTAAACCAGCAGTTTGTACTGGAGTACGACTTGGCACTCAAGGTCTAAACCTCATTCAGCTGAAACCTAGGTATGTTCTATTTTTTAAAAAATGCTCATTTTTGCTGATTCTCTCTCCATTGCCAGAATGAAGCTGATTACTGGGTGCATTTCTGTTCTGCATGACACACACTATGTCAGCTAGAGAAAATACTCATCTGCACATGTTTTATGATTCAAACACTAGATGACACCAGTCTGCAGATCCTGCAGTTAAGAAATCAAATGGATTATGTATAATTTGTATCATAAAAATTATGTGTCATAACCATAGTGAGGTTACACATCATCATTTCTATGTTGTGCCCTTCCCACAGGTGTGGTCACTGGGTTTGGGATTTTTTTTTTGTTAGTTGAATCTTGGTTTAACCTTTTTTTTTTTTTTATTTACTGAAGCAACAAATTCTCTCTTTAAACCTTTGCTGGTAAAGCTTTTCCTTCAGCAGCTCACCAAATTAGAATGTTGAGGGGAGAAAAAAGAAACTCTCTTGGTTTTCAGTTATTTTTGTTCTTCTTTTGCAGTGCTTTGGTACCAATGAGGCATTTTCTCCACAGACAATTTGGGCCAAGGGGTGTCTGTGTTTGTGCAGAGTCTTGGTAACATTGGGCTGAGTCCTGAAAGTTCAAGTTGTTGAAAAGAGGATGGAGCTTAACTACCTCTGGATTTTTATAGAAAAACTCAAATCCTTTCAAGTACCAGAGATACAAAGGTAGAATTTCAGCACAGCTAATGTGGCCTGGCAGCTGGTGGCCCTCTGCACAAGCAGTGGCGTACGGATGGACCTGGCTGTTAGAAATGTGCTTGTGGGACATTCCTGCCTTTGGGCATCAGCTGCAGCAAAGGAAAGTGGCTCTGGGAACCAGAGCAGGATTCCCTGGTGTCTTCAGAAATGTTAGATTGTATTGCCCATACATCCTTGGGATTAAGCAATTTAAGTAGATTTTTTTGTGCTAATGAAATTTTCTTCTGACTCTAATCTGCAGGAACTGAAGGGGAATTTTGTCTTCCTCTTGTAGCAAGAGGGAATTCTCCTTCTCCCGTGTTCTCGCAGTTTGTTTTAGTTTGTCTGCAAAGACCACCTGGCCTGAGATGGAGGCCTAGAAAATGAGCAGCCACAATGCACAGAACATATCTTTTATTCAGTAAGCAAGCAAGCACAGAAGTATAATGTGTAGTGCTTAATATTCATACAGTACTAAAAATATAAAAATAGAAATAAAATTTCACTGAAAGCATTTTCACTCACAAATATACAGGGAAAAGTGCTGTCAAGCCACATCATGCTACACCACTTGCCAGTGCTGAACTGACAGTTTCCCAACAGAACTGAAACACTAAAAACTAGTCTTTCCTCAGTTTTTGGTGAGCCTGAACATTTGACTAGCAAAAATGGGCCTCCTGCAGCTGAGAACCTAAAAAGCATGGGTGTCATTACATAATGGAACGATAAAATAATTTGTGAGAGTTCTGTAGCGATAGTAGCCTGCTTCAGGCAGTTTATGTAGAGATGAAAAAAAAGATAAGAGAAATAAACTTGAATCCTGATTATAATCCAGATCAGTCATGGCTAACAATTCCTGGAACTTATTGTGCATGGATATTTGTGCAATACTCCCACCTGCTGGCATATCCATCAACTCTTCTCCTCGGATGCTGCAGTTCCCTTTTCCTGCTTTAGTGGCACAGATCTTCCCCTTAGGTCTGTTGGAGTCCAGGAGTACAACCCATAAACACTTCTAGGTGCCCTCACCTTTTAGAGGAACTAAAGGAGCTTATCCAGCACTTTAATTTCTGGGGTTGCCCCTAAAGGGAGAAATTCACACAGCAAAGTGACATGGGTTGAAGACTGGTTCTTCAGGAAAGTCCCTGCACCAGATTCCTGGCTTTTAAGCCCCATTTTGAGGGAGTGACCTAGAACTAAGGGCTTAAGAATCATCTATCTGCTGTCTGTCATCTATCAGCTCCAGCTCTGCATGGAGCTGAACTGCCTGCATTAGGAAGCCAGCTCTGAGCTGTGTCCATAAAGGCATGGGTGGGATTTGGGATCAGGCTGACAATCACAGCTGTAAATCAGAACAAGCCCTGTCTTGCAGAATGTGCCAGTGCACAGAACCTACTCAAATCACGCAGATAAGGGTGTGCAGAACCTAATGTGAACCCCACTTGGATCGGTTCCTATTTTGGAATGGGATTTATTTATACTTGGTTATACCTGCTATAAAAATAAATGTGACAATTAACCCCTGAGATCATTCTAGCGTACCGTTTTGGCCTGTTACTTGTTTCCCTCAGAAATAAATTTTTATTTGGTTTACAGATGTTTATTTAGGTTCTAGTGACAAGCTTTTATAAAACACATTAAATAATCAATGTGGGGCTGAAAAGGTGTACATTCTAGTTGCATATATGATACATACCTTATACGTATATAATACATTCCATAACAGCTGAATGTTCTAGTATTGTCTGGGAAGTTCTTGCATGTGGACAAAGGACTTAAATACTAGAAGATAAACAGCTGTTCAGGATCAAAGATAATTGTATCTGATATGGTTTACTTAGATTGTTTTTCTTTCTTTAAATTTTATTACACATAATAGCTACAATAGTTTGTCCAGCAAGTAATAAATGAATGCATAAAGCACTTTTAGCTATATCTGGATATCATATGCATGCATTTTTTATAAATAAAAATCAAATGTGAGGTCACATTTTCCCATCTTCTGTTTATAAACTAAATCAAATTTCTCATTCATTGAAACAGTGAAGATGTCTTTCCATAGCCCAACTCGTCCTGAAACACAGAAAAAGAAGACAAGTCAGAGTGGATGTAACAGGACACCAAATACCCACAGCCTAATTGTGCAGGGCACCAAGTATCAGCTGTGAGATTCGGATCTGTCTGGGCTTTCTCTAAAAGCTTAATGAGACCTAAGGCTGTTCATTGTCTGGCACAATTATTCTGGCACTACCCTTGCAAAGCCTTTCAATAAAACCATACACATCTTCAGCTGCACCAGCCCAGTGTTACACAGGAAGAATTCAGATTTTTCTGGGACTTTACTCTGGCCTTAATCAGAAATGAACACAGATTTTGGGTTGGGTGTTCACTTAAATGTGGATTTCTGCTTTCAGTGCAAGCACTGGCTGTTTAATAACTCCAACAGCTAACAACACATTTCAAAATCACAGTGCCTCCAGCATCCACTGCTTAGAGAACTATCCAAAAGGTAAAGGGAATGTGGGGTACAAAACTGACTGTTGGATTGTAATATTTTCGCTGCTAATTTCTATTATTTTATGTCTAGAGATAAGTCCAACAGATGAATTTCCATTTCTCAACATGGAGATTTGTTTGCTAAATAAAAGTTTCTAAATATGAAAGAGAACAAGTGCCATGCACTCAAGTTGTACCTCTGACATTTTAATTTTGAACACAAGGAATAGGAAGCTTTTGGGGAATGCAATATGGACAGTGAACACCTTCCTCATATGAATTAATCTATGGAACCCAACCAATAACATAATCTGTGACCCTGCTGAACCCTAACAGCCAAAGGCAGCAACCCCTTAACAACTGTTTTGATGCTGCCCAAAATATATTTAACTCAAAGTCATCCAGGGTTACTTGTGGCTGAATAAGCCCAAAGGAATAACTAGACTGAGAGGCTCAATTAGCTTCTCATTTATGCTGGAGATAAAGACAAAATCCAGACTTCTTCAACTGAAATAAATGAAAGGAGAATTGGGACACTGCTACCAGAGTTTAATCATAACAGCAAGAACAAAGCTACATGCAGGGAGCTTAATTATGCATTTAATGCATAAGAAGAATATCCATTTACTTCAGTTACCATTGCTTTTATGAAGCAACTTTGTAGTTGAGACAAAACACAAAACTGTCTGAAATATCTACATATTATTTATTAATGTGATGGTATAGCATGTGTGGCAAAGGCCATTTCATGAAATTGTGGCTTTTCTATAACTCCTGCAGGTATGAAAGTGTCCTGGTTTCTTTTCAGGATCCAAAGACCAGAATAACCGGACACTGAAAATGCTGTTTATTGTTTTCACCAAATTTCTCATGTATTTTTAAAAAAATAAATTAAGGAAATGTTACAATCATAAACATCTGATACTAAGTTAAATTTTGCTCTGGCAACTATAACTGCAAAAACTGTAAAATTTACAGCATGAAACCTGTTCATGAAACCCTGTATTTCCCATACAATAATGATAATAAAATATTTTTTTCCTCTTCTTGGTAAAAAAAAAAAAATATATTCTATTTCTGAGTCTCCCTAAAAACATGTATGGACAAATGACAAGTTTTACAAATGACATACATACACTGTGGATTATTTGTAACAATTTTTTTCTTTTTATCATATGAATTGATAGCTTGTCAAAAAGTCACCCACCTGGTTTATGATTTGAATCATGCAACTGCGTAAATTAGGATGTGATAAGAGTCAAACACAAGTAACAAATCTAATCATTGTTCTGCTTTCACAGCAGTTCAGGGTTATCTTCAGAGTAAAGATCAATGTGCTAAAAGAAAAAAAAATGAAGAACTAAAATAAAGCAAAATAATAAAGTAAATGTAACTAATGACAAATTAAAAAATTTGAAACAAATTACGATCAGCTGTCATGTCACCATTCTTTGTCACAGAAACAAACAGAGAAGGAACAAAGCACTTCTAATGAAGCTACATTCTGGAGTAACAAAATATTGCAAAAGCCAAAGACAGCAAAGAAAAGAAAATAAGGATATTTATACTAAAAAGCACACAGCGAACAAATGACAAAGAATCACATTAAGTGCTTGTAGCTCCCTTCCTTCTCTATTACAACATTAACGCTTCTTTCCAAAACATTTGTAGACAGTAGATGCAAGAGGCTATATGTGGGCCAACAAGAACACAGCCCTGCTGTTTGCAAAGCTTTGCTCCCACATGAGCACTTTATCCAAGGACCGTGGGAGGCCCCAACAAAATATGCGATAACTGAATAAATAACCAGCTAGCACAGAATTAGTAGTCAAGAGGGACTGGTAATATTTGGCATTTTCATCAGAGATATGAAAATCATTATAAAAATTACAGCTAGTATAATTTGCAGATCACATGAAGACTGGCTGAAAGTGGTAGTATGGAAAGGGCTCCTACACACAGAAATCTTAGATCAAAGTATTCCTGTCATAATCCCTCAGTAAGGGATAATAACATGCAAATCAATTCCTCTGAGAAACTTTGTAGTCATGATAAACATGTGCTTCATGTGTGATGCTGTATCATAAAGTGCAACCACTGCTATGGGTAGAAAACAAGGAAAAGTTCCAAATAGAACTGGATTAAATTAGTGTATGAAGTGATTTTATGTTTGGATAAGGCATATGTAGGGATAACATAGGAACTGACCATCTTGACCAGGTTCCCCCACTTTTAAAAGTGATGTAGAGCAGCACACAGAAGATAATTTGAGGGATCTTAGGTTCACTCTTATGCTTCTCGAAAGCAACTGAAAGGACTTGATTTAGGACAAATGTATTAACAGATCACATGGCACCTTCTGGTGCCTAGAGAAAGAATCTCACCAGAATAAACATCTGGAAGATAAACACATTTTAAACAGCTGAGGTAGGAAACAAAAATAAAAAGCTTATAAGGGAAGCTGTGGTTCCTTGTAATTTTATTTCTTCCAGACGAGAAATGTCTGCTATTCTAGAAACCTGATCTACTTAAACCCCAGGGCTCAGGCAAGGATAAACCATATGAGATGGTGTGGGCTTTGGCAAGCCAAAGGTCAGAAGGAGCAGGGCAGAGTTTTCAGCATGAAGAGCTGAATCCATCGAAGCAAGACAAAGACTCCCTGACAGAGTGGTTTGAAATGACACTGTTGATCTTGGATTCTTACACCCTTTTCAGTCACTTCCACCTAACCTGACTTCAAAACAACACAGCCCTGAGATTGCACCAACAATCAGTTCCCTCCCATCCTTTAAATGGCAATATTTTGCCAACATCTAACTCACCCTGGGGGTTACAAAGTTGCTTCTTGCAACTTCTCCAAGAAGCATTTTTCTGTGAGTTTTAAACATACCCCTGCCAACAGGAAGAGCCTCTGCATTACAGCACTGATCAATGAGTTGATGGCAGTGTTCCACCATGGATTCCAGCTGAGCTTTGTCATAAGAAACTCCTAAGAACCTCACCAGCTGCTCAACCATTGTTGCTAGGTCCTGTAAGAAAGCATTTAAAACCCAGGTTATTTCACAATATTTAAAATCACATTTTTAATGAGTTTAAATATTTCAAAGTAATTATATCCTGGTGAGTGTGAAAAATACAAGTTCAGAAGTTGTAGAAACACCATTTCCAATTTGCTGAAAAAAAAAATAAATACGTTCTGATTAATTGGGTTAACACAGGTTGGCAGCAAGCATGGCCATGTAACCTTCAGATGCTGGAACATGGAACGACTGAAAAGTAATTGTGTTGCTTCCCACTACAGAGAACACCCCACCCTTGACTGATCCCTTTGGAATACCAGTGCATTTCAGAGGACTTAAAAGTTACTTTGATTTTGACCTTAGTCAAATAAATGACCAGAAATGTTAGGAGAGCCCTTCTTCCTTTGTCAGCTTCTGGGACTGCATTTATGTAGATGGAAGGATCTGGGGAGGTGGCTTCTGAAAACAACCATGAATTTACATCTCCAGAATTCCAGGGCTCCTCAGTATGAGTTGCAATGACAAAACATCAGGAAGCAGGAGGATGCTGTGATGCCACCAGCTGGTGAGCACAGGTAGGAATACATTAATTATTCAAAACTGTGGGATTGAAATAATTTTGACTAAACTTTACTTACTCTGATTATATCACACCTTCTTTTAGAATCCCACTCCATCAGAAGGCACAGTGAAGCTGGAATTATAATTTACCCAGCTTCACTGAATCTTGTCCTGATTTTTTCTTTTTACAAGTTTAGAAACAGGAGCTGGGTTTTTTCTATGTTTGCATTAGTTTTCCAGTCAAATAAACATTCTGAAGTACTTTCACTAGCTCTCAAAAAGATATTACTGCAGTAAGAAATATGCACTATTTCCACTAGACTTCTGATTTAAGTGGATTTATTAGCCAGCATACTGTAAGGACTCAATAATTATATCCACATTACGCTACATGATTATATCCTCATTGTTTTCAGATTTGTTTATCAGAAAGCACTAAGAACAACCAAATAATCGCAACAAATGCCAAATAGGACAAAATAGTGTTTATTTATTTTTTCCCTCATTGATACAGCACATACAGCAAGACATTTCTTTTAAATGAATGCCCAGGGCTGAGTGTAGCAAGTACTGAACAATTTCACATCACTGCCTTCTCTGCAAGTAGTTCAGTGCCTATGGATGCAGGCAGATTCCCCAGTAAATTAATATGGATAGGAAAGTGCCTAAAGTCCATTGAAGCTACGGAATTTTTAAAGCCAGAGCTTTAAAAATGGAATGAGTAATTAGGGAGCCCAAATGTGGACATAAGAATGTAATTTTGTGCTTTATGTATTTTTAAAACTAGGATGCTAAATGTGATTAAAACACCATTTTGCTACATCTAACCTACCTTATGCATGTCTTCATACTTGAGAAAAAGTACATTGGCATCCATGTGGTGTTCCCAAAACTCTTGCACATGTTCAAACCACGAACCATATCCTACTACAGAAACATTATGATTGGCATGAGGAAAATGAGCACTTTGGTTATTAAGTGGTTTTCAAAAAGGAAAAAAAAATAAAAAAAGAAAAATTAAATAACTGGAGTGGTTCATAGCCCCAGGAGAGCAGTGTCTCATTTTGACCCATGTAATGGGGGACCTAACCCTCCCCCCAAATCTTTACACATTTGTTTTCCAGTTCTCTGACTAAGTCCACATTTGTACTGATATCAGTCAGTTTATGTGTCTCTACAGTTCAGACACTGGTACTTGGTACTTACAATCTCAAGAATCTCTTTTGTTGCCAATATTAGAAAACAATCCCATGAGAAATGTATTCTGCAATTTTTCTCTGTTACCAGTGACTAATTCCCACAAAGTACTTCACATAATCAATGTAGGAGTTAAGAAAATAAGGAGTTTTTAAATTCTTTCCAAATACTTTTTAGTCAATTATATCTTTTCAGCAAAGCAGCTATAGGAAAATTAAAAAAAACCAATTTTTTTAGGTTTGTATTTTGAGGCCACCTTTTCTCTTTGAAAAAGAATTGTTTCATTCTGGTAGCTGGAATACTGATGTATTACCTTCATGCATCCCATTCTTATGGAATGGGAGTAACAAAAATGGAGTCTTAGTGACTTTATAAGAATTGAAAATTGGCCAATTGGCCAAGCTGAATAAAACTGTTTTCCTATGAAACTGATCTCTTTGTTGACTGGACGAGTGGACAAAGAGATCAATTTTGAATTACCAAGATTCTGTTGAAATGTAAACATTCAGCTAAATGCTAAATTCACTGTATTAAAAACATCTCATTTGCACAATGATGGCCATAGAACATGTTGTGATGTTTTATTGGCTCTGGGAGGTTGTGATAAAGTCAGGTGGCTGCTACAAGATAAAGAGACAAATAACTTCTGGGACACTTACATGGAAAAGAGTGCCCAACCTTTCTATCTTAGAAGACCTTCTAATGTGTCTTTCTTATGTCTCTGGTCTAGAAGTTCCTGATCAGGGGGTACAGGCAAACTTTCCATTCTCAGGGAATGCAAATGGAAAACTGAAGCTGGGCTGGAATGGGAGGAGAGCATTATTCCTGCTCAAGCTTGCAGGATAAGGAGCAGCAAAGGTTTTTTAAGGCCTGTTAAATAACCTCCATTGGTAGGCTTTACTTTTTTCTTCCCTTTGGTATTACACAGCTCCTTCAGCGTCAGCTCCCCTAAATTCCATGTTTGCTGCTCGGGATCTAGAGGAGATCCTGCTCTCAGAGCTCAGGGTACTGGTGAATTCTTAGTATCACATTAAGGTATCAGAGGAGATATTGCAAAGAAAAAAAAAGGCAGCAAGAATTTTTTCTCTTCTTTAGCTAGAGAGAATGGGCAATCCCTTGGTATTTCATTCTCCTCACAGAGCTGCATTTTTCAGGCCACAGCAGCCTGCAGCTGCCTTCTCATGGGTTCTCACTCGAGCTCAGTGGTGAACTCCAGATCAGGCCCATGCAAACTAGAGAATTTTGTGTTAACTTGCAAGGTATGAACTTTGAGTTTTTGAAATTCTGAAATTTAAACATTAAAGAAATTACCAGGAAAATAACCCCAAACCTGGGGAGCAGAAACACTCCTGAGAAGTAGCTGATAACTGAAATTGAATGATGCTGTGAATATTCACCACTTTTTGGGCAGTACCTGGCAATCTGCAAACTGAATTTTAGAAGAGTAGACCAGAGTTTTGCTCTAGTTCAGGTGGAAAACTGCTGAACCCAGGGGGTCAAATACTGTAAGGCAAATATTTACAAAAAGCACAGTTCATAGTTTGCATGGACAAATCTCAATCCCCACAGTGCTATCTGTAGCAACCTCGTTGCTGTATATGCAAAACAAATGCACCTTTATCCAGTTCACTTCTGTACTTGCAGAAGGAACGTAGAGATGAAAATAAATGTGTGCAGAGAGAACAGCTCCTTACACTTGTCATTCATAAACCTTCTGCAGAACTCCTGAAACGTTCCTCTGTAGCTCATGGTCCTTAGGGAGCGGTGGAACTGGTAATAAGACACCACCAGGTCTTTGGGGTTTCGAGCCATGTATATTACCTGTGATGGGGGGAAAATTATCTTATTGAAAGCTTTTTCCTCATCCCAAAGCACTCACACAACTGCTGCCAGCAGAGTTAAAACAAACACGAGCTCATTTTCACCTTTGAGTTGCCGTTGTGGAGGTCTGAAGGCAAAAACCGATAGGGGAGGTGGCTTTTGATGAGTCGCGGGGAGGTCAGTTCCTAAAATAAAGCAGAGAGAATAGTTTCCTATTGAGCACTGCTTCAGGGAACATCCTCAGCTGTCCTGAACTGTCACACTTGAGGCCCTCTGCTGCAGTGACTCCCATTCACAAATTCACTTCCTAAAATTAACAAAAGTTCGGGGACTCAAAATCGGGTCAGGGAGTCACATCTGGCTTTTAAATATCAAAAGGCTGGATAATGTGTTGGGGGTTTTGTAATTTTGGGGTTTTATCCCTTTTGTTTTCAAAGTACTTCCATTTGCAGGACCTTCTCAGAAAGAGAATGTAACAGTTGAAGATTCTTATCAAACTCACTTTATTTCCAGTGATGCCTCCACTAAAAATCCTTGATAAATATTAGAAGCTCTGAAAACATGACCCCTAACTTCTTCCAAGTTTTACCTTTGCATTTTATTTTATACTTAGAATTTGGCCCAAAGCTTTATCTGAGTGTGCAAACATTTTTCAAATAATATTTTTTCTGTAATTTGATACAAAATTCTCATGACACACATCATGCTCTGCTATTAAAAATGGAATAAATCCATATTGAATCAAGCTGCTAGCACATGGCATAGATAAGAATGTGTAATCTCAAACTAAACCTCTTACTGTTGCCACCAGTTTTTTGCAACAGGATAGCACTGAGGTCTCACTGGATTAGGCATCACAGATGAAAAAGAAGAGCAATCTTGGACCTCTAAATACTCTCAGCTTGAAGTAGGCTGAGGCTGCAGTTGTCATTGACCACAAGCAGCTTAATTCTATCCCTGCCAGTCTCAGCTTGCTCATTCCAAGCAGCACTGCAGCTGTTACAGGATGGTCCTGTATAGTTTTCCTAATAATTCCAAGATGTTTCTCTTTCAGAAGTGGTTGCAGCAAGGCCAGGATCACACTTATGTGCCATGCAGCTGGACTTCAAGGGATTCTTAATAGCATGGAATTTTATGCAGGATATTCCAGACCCCTCAGACTACACCCACAGTGCCTGTAGAGAGCCAGGATCTGTGGATCTAAAGATCAAGATGTCTAAATTCAGAGCAGTGGGAATACAGATGCATGGATATCTGCATTTTTAGTTACTCTTTAACAAATTCAGGGAAGGAATCACAGCAAATTTGCCTCATTTGGTCAGTTCCTGTCTACATAAGCAAGAGAGGCCTGGAACATAGATTCAGAAAACCCACTGTCAAGATATTTAGGACATGGAGACACATTTAAAGTATTAAATAGAACACAATGAAACTTAATAAAAGCAATTTAAAATAACCTAATAACACTCTGAATCAATGCAACATTCTGAACAAGTCCAGTGATGAAAAGGAGAAGGATAAACATGGAACCAAGGAAAAAGTCACCCAAATGCTGGAAGACTCTCTTTGCAATAAATTGTACCTTGATGATGTCCAGACCGGGCTGAGGGTACTCTAGGACTGGGAGTTGCTCATCTATATTCATTAGTCCAATCTCATCTGGATCAGCTCCCTGACTCACTAGATACACCACTTCCTGCAGCAAGCCTGTGCCTGCATGAACCAAACAATGAAAGAGAACAGATTGTATTACAGTTCTTATCTAAACACAACCATATGAAGGGAGACCTAAACAGAGAAATAATGGCAACTTTTGTCCTCAACAATCTGCTGTGAGCTAAATCTATTACTACTGTTTTAATGTAGTATGTCAGCTCTCTTGGTTTTATTTTAAATACATGTAGGTCTTTCATGCAAAAGACCTGAGATTTTTTTCTTCACTAACAATTTAAATACACATCTGTCTCCAAATCACTTAACATGTGAATTGAAATGCATTTAACAAAAGGTTTTACCTCTGTAAATGTTACCTTGGCAAAACACTCCTACTTCCATTTTAGAAACTAAAAAAAAAGGTGAACACAAGTCATCCAAGTTCACAAAATGCACTAGTGGCTGTGCAGAGAAACCTTTATTCTAAATCTTAGGCAAGGCCCCTGTTACATGTGATTTGAGAGTCTATTTATGCCTCCAGGTTATGGAGTGGATTAAGCCCTAACACATCCACGCACAGTGAGTCAGTCACAAGCTTTAGAAGCCTCAATTATGCACCTCTCCACACTCTGAGGACATTTACAGTGCAACCATTAGATATCATGGCACTTTGGAAAATTAATAGATACTTCAATTACACCTTTGGACAGGGAAATTATTTCAAAGTGACTTTATCTTCAGGCAGGTAGGGAACCCTCAAAACAGAGATATTTGACAGAGAGTTAAGAAGATAAAGGCTCTTGGTGAGATGGAGGAACATGTGGATGCTAAATGCAAAAGCAAGCAGGGAACAGAGCCTGTGTGAAACTCATTCTGACCTGAGAAAGCATAAGAAAGAATCCAAACAGTCCTTGGTAAAAGACAACAATCTTTACAGGCGTTATTTAGGAAACAATCAAGGGGTTGTGATCCACTTAACCAATGATGGTGGATGTGTTGCTTTAATAATCAATGAGAGTTTTATCTCTTGGACCTTCTAGAACATGTGTATAAAAGAAGATTAAGAATAATAAACTTTGCTCTCTTGGACAATGCAGCTAAGAGAGTCATGTCATACTGCTTTGCCATTCCTAATACAGTGCAATAGGAGCTGAATGGGGAGATATCACAGTGAGCCAGAGGAGGGACCCCACATTTTGGATGAGAAGTCCCAAGGATGTGGGACAGCCTGGAAACTGCAAAAGACACACCTACTATTTATGAGTTGTGAGCAGAAAGGGAAATGAGACCAGTATTTATTCACTCTCTCTTGTTGCCTGAAGGAACAAGTAATGGTTCCAGAACTGGTTACAAAGCCCAAGACCGCTCCTGCATCCCAGTCCTTGGAATGATGAGCTGTAAACTCTGAAATCATGACCATTAGAACTTGAAAATAATTTGAGAGTTGCAGGTCACTTGTAACAGTCACTAGTTAATTTATTTTGACTAAAAAGATAATATACACAAACAGGCACCTTTATACCAATCCTGTCTGTTGTTCCAACACCAAAAGAAACCGCTATTGTATCATTATTCTGGTTCTTTTTAATCTGAGACACAAACAGTTAAGTGAGACCAATGGTTGGAGTGAACACAGCCTGGATACAGTGTGAAAGAACACACACAGAATTGTTTTGGATAGCAAGCACTTCAAGATTCCACTGTTCCCCTACTGATTGATGGGTAAATTAAAAAGGTTTGAGACAGGAAAAAAAAAAAAAAAAAAAAAAAAAAAGACACTTTTACATTATCATCACCCACAGAGACAGCTGTCACACACTTAATACACACTTGTCCCCATGGCTGTTCACTCTACATTTTTAAGTTCAAGCATATATTGTATGCATTAAAATTAACATTCATACAGTACTTTAGTATCAGTCCTTGTGAGTCTGAATGAGCACAACACAACCCTTGTTCTCATTAAATATTTATTCTGAGTGGAAACACCCTGGTTCTCCATAATTTATTTCTGTATTTCCAATTCCACTTGCAAAGAGAAATGCTATTACAGCAGCCCTATTTCCATAAAAGGAAAAGAAATCACTCTGTGGAGATACACAATAAACTATTTTTTCATTGCTCAGCTGCTCTCTAGGCAAAAAGCTGCCATCGCTGTTGTGCCTCTGAATACAGAAGGGGCCACAGGGTTGAGGCAGAACCACACTGAAACTTCAAGAGAGCAGCATGTTCCCTACCAGCTCTTCACAAGACCCACCAGAAAACTTAAAAGTGACAGACAGGGAGCACAGTCCCCATGGCCTTACCTGGTTCTTCTCAAACCTGTGGCTGTGCACCAGGCTTGGCTTGACTGCCGTCAAATCCACTGAGAACTGTGGAGGTGGGAAATTACATATTTCCCAATCAAAGTGGGAGTTTTGGAAGCTCAAAAGTTTCCATCTAAAAGTGTTTCCACCAAAACCAGTGATACACTGAAAGAGGAATCCAGTAGGCTGGAATTTCTCCTCCCTACACCTGCAGCAGTATCACTGATTTCAACTTCCCTCACCCATGAAATCTGTGCTAGTTTTCTCTTTTGTCAGTCACTGCATTAGCCTGATTTTCTCCCACATTAGCACTCAAGCTACTGTACTTGGAAATTCAGGATTTTAATCAAAATGAAAACTAGGGAATTAACTTTTGAGGGAACAGTGATTTTTTTTTTTTTTTTTTTTTTAACTTGTCACCCTTAATTAATTATTATTTACCACACACACACACACACACACACATTCCAAAAGCTCCAGGAAAAAATTTATCATTAACCTGGTTTCCTGTTTAAGAGAACAAATTAAAGCATCATATGCTTATTTCTTTAAAAAGGAAAAAACCCAAAAAGCTTTTATATGTATTATTAGATATTGTATGACCTCCTCACATCTCTACTAGGACTAAAACCAACTCAAATTAAATGTATCAGAGCTAAATGTTCTTTTGGTTTAGAAAGGATGACTTAACCTAGCAACAGGCAGCCCAAATTCCAGACCTGGCTGCTAGGGCAACATATTCAACCCCAGGAACACCAGCTGGCTGAAAAGCCAAATAAAGTGGGATACTGGGATCCACAAGATGGAAAGCCCAAGCCTAGACCTGGGCTAGCAGAATTTATTAAAATGCCTTAGTATGATGGGATGTGAGTTTTCTGCTGCAGCCGCATCTGTGTGTAAAACATACAGAAATTTGCCATTTGACCCAGCTGACTTAGTGATCTCTGTGGAGATTTGCAAGAACCATCATTCTATGGATGGAAGGTAGAGTAAATTCCTGAAACTGAGATTATCAAAGGCGATTATGTGAATAACGCCAGCAATCCCAGTCTATCCCAAAACCTGGCCAGATCTAAATGTCTCAGAGACTTTTTTAGTAAAAGGGAAATTATGATATCTGCTGGACATAAAAAAAGGTGAGGCAAGCTAAAGAAAATAAAAAGAAAATAGAAGTGTGCAGAGCTTCTCTCTGTACTTCCTAGATTTCTGGCCCTGCTGAGGCAATGGTTGTTGTGCATCTCTGATATCTTCACGGCTTCCTGCCTGTGCTGCTGAACACCTGTACATATACGTGCACACCTCACTTGGGATGGTACAGGAGGATAAACACAACAGGATAACACACTGAAAAACAGGTTTAGCTGCCAGCCTTTGGACATGGGGCACAAAATGCCACATTAATAAGTTCCCAGCAATTTTACCCTGTCTTCTTTCATCTGCAGCATTTCATTTGAGAGGAAGACTGCTCACCCTGCTACCTCTAAGGTCATATTGCCAAAACAGACATGGAATTCATGAACACTTTTCCAATTTCAGTTAAAATGAGGGCAGTCACCATCTGAGGAACTTCAGTGCAAAGTTTCTGAGAAATGCTCTTCCTGACAAGCTCCTCTGCTCTGTCAATACAACACCCCAGGAGAACACAGAGTGTTCCAGTTTATCACACAATATCTGGAAAGAGAGGGGGTGGGAAACAGCTGCGAGAAGCTACTGCCTGCCAGAATCTGCAGGTCTTTAGGAGAATTTTTAAATTATCTGTGAGTGTGCTGGTGGGGATGCGCTGTGCTTTCCTGTGCTACCTATTGACACACAGAAATCAGGACTCATTAAAAATCCCACCACATCACAGAAGTCCCTGTGAGGACAGGAACGCTGTTCCCTTTCCATGGCCAATGCCATGGCAATGCTCAGCAAGAACAGTCAGACCAGGGCCACTCTGCCTCTGCTCATCAAGAGCTGCTGCAGTAGCATCCAGGCAGCAGAGGGACAGACACGACTTGGGAACACCACAGCTATTCCTTCTGGCTTCTGTGTGTTAGATGCCTTCCAGTGTCAAATTTAGTCACTGTAGAAGGGAGAAATATTCTCTAGTGCAGATATTCTCCGGCTTCCCTCAATTCTTTCTGGCCACTGGCACTCCTATGAAGTCATCAGACATCATAGATGTGTTCAAAGTGAAGTGGCAGATGTAACACTCTAAGGTTTCTGGTGAAATTTTGCTTCTCTATATTGTTTCTAAGGCAGTTTCTTTCAGTTTCTTCTCTGTTATCAGCTAAGACAGGACAAACCTGCAGCCCAAGGATGCAAAGGCCTTTGGTGTATTGCCTTTATTTGCCCCTTGTATGGAAACCACATGGAAAATTAAAATAAAGAAATACTAGCACTAGTAATCTAGCAATCCAAATTAACTGTATTTTGGTTGATCTGCCAGTGCTTGACCAAATTTTGGCTAATCCAATGCAGCAGATCCATTATGATTCATATCTTTTTTATAGCATTGGTAGATGCAAGTGCTCATTAAAAGTGAGGGCTGCTAAAGCTGCCATACTGGTCTGTAAGTGCTGTACAGCTGAGCCTCACACTGTTCTTCTAATTGCCTGCTAGCTCATTCCCCCTTGGCTAATTTCAGTGCAAATCTGCAGGTCAGTATGACAGATTCATCCCCACCCTAAAATACTGGAGGGAAAATTAGATTTTTCCATTAGAAGAAAAAAACCTCAAATTTCCAAAACATTAAATTATCTCCTCTTGAGGCTTCTAATACTGAAGTTCTCCTACACATTCAAATTCCACCCGGCTTAAGAATAGAGGTTTTTATTAACAACTAGGGTTTTAAATATAAAAATAATACATATACCTTGATACCATAGTTTCCAATTCTTCTGTCTTCCTAAATGAGACTGGGGATTCAGAATAAAGACTGAAATTGTGATGTTATATTGCCACACTATTTTTTTTTTTTTTGACTGACCGATTAAATATTTATTAGAGGGCCCAAGGTTCAGAAAGGTCTGAATACTCGTCTTCTAAGACTAATGCCCCTCTTATGTGGCCTAAATGCCACACAGTCAATACTGATCGGTCAAGGGAGTCTGTGGGACACAAGGAGCCTGAATTCAGATTTTCTGAAAGGGGACAACTTAAGTAAGGCTGGATTTAAAAGAAGTGTTAAATACACAATTTCCAGCAACATTGAGTAAGCACAGAATGATTTTAGATCAATTTGATTTTTAGACTTCCTAATCATTTATTTTTCTGCTTGCAGCTACCAGCTTTTAAACCAAAACCAACAAGCTAAATTCTTCAGATATGGGTCCATTAATTCTGAGTTGTGTTTTGAGTATGTTTTGCCAGAGGCTATAAACAGCACACTATGAAAACCTTATTCTATTTAGGAGGAAAACCTACTTTCTGTATGGTAAAAATGCTGTCACTGAACTGTTTACACACACGTATTATCCACAGAATTATTGCTGTTATGTCCAATACAGTATCCTAAAGCCCTGCTTTAATGAACTGGTTACAAAGCAGGGCTATTTTTGGCTAATGCATTAGTGCTATTTTTTTAAAAAGCTGTCTGAGTCATGATTCTCCCTTACATTAGCACACTAAGTACTCAATAGAGGACAGGACAAGAAGTGCATATCGACCAGAAAGAGTCTGGGACTTGGCTCTGACAGCTGGGGCAGCCCCACTCCCACACAGTGAGACAGGCAGCCACTATTGCCCACACCAAACACCAGCTTGGAGAAAAACACTTCCTTTGGAGCATGCTGGGTCCTAAAACTGGAGCAACACTAGTAAATAAAACACACCAGGGCCTGTTCTCTGGGAGATTCGTGGCACAGCCAAGCCCACACCCAGAGAGATCGATTCCCTGAACAAGAGCAATTCATCTGTCACTTTCTAGCAGAGGTCTCTTGCTGAGGAGAGCTGGCAAATAGCCTTTCTTTTCTGTCCTTGTCAATAATCCACAACATCCTCAAGTGCTCTGCAGCAAGGGCTTGGTAACAGCTCTAGGAACTTTGAGTCAGGTCCACAGATCTACTGTTAAAAACATCATCAGGCCACAAGTTTGCCTTCCTTTGCCTTCTGATTGAAGAGTCATGATCTGTGTCTTCAAGCTTGTCCTGACATCCATGACTTCATTATATCCAGGTGTCCTGGATTTTGTCACAGGTCCTTCACAGACAGCTGCTACTGGTTGCAGTACTGGTTGCAGTACTGGTTGCAGAGACATCTCTTGGTACCAGATATTCAAAGGGAAATTGTTTTACTCTTCTCTTGAAGCTTTAGCTGGGCTGTCCATATCTGTGGATGCTCATCCTGGCTTGCACCACATATCATCCCTAATGAAGTAACTTCGCACAAACTGCTCCAATCCACTTAAAATTAGCTTGGCCAAATGAGCTGAAGGAGTTTCTACTTTTGTCATCAACTTATGTAGCAAATTTTGCATAGGACAAACCAGAATCATCCACCCAAAATACTCTGCGGGTTGCTTTTCTAGCAGGAATGATGAAGAGCAGGCTAAGGGCACTAATATTCCCGCACTAGCACAGACACCTGTAAAAGCAGACATCTGCCCATATCCTTAGGTTCATTTTTCTTCCAGTTTCTACTCACCAACCAAACACCATTGTAAAAGTGAGCATGACATCCATCACACTAAAACAAAAAACCGTAACATAGAACATGCAGGAACATAGAAATAACAGATAAACCTGCTTGCTATGACAGAATGACATTTCTTTTCACCCTTCCCATATCTAGTCAAGGCTGAGCAGGTCTAAAGCCAACACAGCACATTAAATCGTTAGCTCAGTTGGAGCCTGCCCTCCTGCATCCTCTGGCAGTTCCATTCTCCCATCGTTTTAGAGCCTGTATCAAAACATGCCAAAATTGCATAGTACATTACCCCAGCAGGAGCTCGCAAACTCCAGCTGAAAGTCTTCCCACTGTGCCTAATTTCCCTTAGTTTTCACACAGTGTACCAAGGACAACAATGCAGGAAAGAACTTTGCTGCAATGACAAGTCATTGGGTTTTAAAATCATGCTCAAGGAC